GCTGTCCCGAGTATTAAACTGGGTTTGGAGGGGGTGGCCGGTTGGAAGCGTTGAACCGGAGTTCGGCCCTTACAAAAGCCGTCAAAATGAACTATCCATTTCTAAGGGCTGTGTATTATGGGGGAACAGGGTGGTGGTTCCTGACAAACTCAGGACGAGAGTGTTAGAGTCGCTGCACGAGGGTCACCCCGGTATGGTACACACCAAAGCGTTGGCCAGAGGGTATGTCTGGTGGCCGGGGCTGGACAAAGAGATCGAAGAATGGGTACGAGGGTGTCCCAAATGCCAGCAAGTCAGACCCGATCCCCCACAAGCTACACCCCAAGGCTGGGAGTCATCTGGTAAACCCTGGGCCAGATTGCATATAGATTTTGCTGGCCCTCTCCAAGGGCAAATGTTCCTAATTGTGGTGGACGCTATGTCCAAATGGCTGGAGGTCGTGCATATGAAATCGACCACATCACTTGCTGTGATCCATGCGCTCCGCCGACTTTTTGCCACCCACGGGTTGCCTGACGTCATCGTCAGTGACAACGGGCCTCAATTTGTGTCTGAGGAATTTAGGCTCTTCCTCACGAGTAATGGCATACGCCAAATGACTTCGGCCCCTTTCCATCCGGCATCTAATGGCCAAGCCGAACGGATGGTCAGGACGGCCAAAGAGGCCCTGGGTAAAATGGACGAAGGGGACTGGAGCCAGAGGCTGGGCTCCTTTCTTTTGCTGCAGCACACCACCCCCTGTAGTGCTACAGGCCGTAGTCCGGCCGAATTGTTAATGGGGCGGAGACTCACGACCCGTTTGAACCGAATGCACCCAGACCTCACTGAAGAGCAATCCGAGCGTACCACGGCGCAACCGAAGGTGCGCATGTTTGAAAAAGGGGACAAGGTTTTCGCACGGAATTATGCAAACGGGCACTTGTGGCTTCCTGGGGTTATATCCGACTCTGTGGGTACTCGAATGTATGTGGTGCAGTTAGCTGACGGTCGAATATGGCGGCGCCACATAGATCAGTTAAGGAGACGTTGGGCTAGGGACAGCGCTGACTCTCCGACGGCTGAATCCCCTGATGTCGAGTGGACACCCCCAGAGCAGGCGGTGAGTACCGAAAGGCCCGGTACTGTCCCCGAGTCAGGGCAGAACCCTGTGTGCGGGGCTGAAATCCCAGTCGAGTCTGTGCCTGATCCAGGCTGTAGTGAACCCCACTCTGACCCACAACCTTGTCTGCCCGTGGTGCCTGCACCGCTCCGCAGGTCCCAGCGTTCGCGGCAAATGCCGACTTATCTGAAGGACTATGAGTGTAAATACTGTTGGAATAACTGATGTACAAAGGTTGATTGCATGTTTGTAAATAATAAAACAATTGGGATGATGGCTTAACTTAGGGGGGAGGAATTGTAATGTATTGAAATGATTACATGAATCACCTCATAGGACTCCCATGTTAAGCTTCGAGCCAGACCAGGGCTCCTCTGAGCGAACTTCCTATTGGTCGCTTCGTAACAGCGACCAATCAGAACGATACCATTCCCTAGGAGGGAAAGACTCCCATTGGTTTTTATCCTAGCAATCTCATTGGTTGTTAAATGTAAATAGGCGTGGCTACATTAGCCCGGTTATGTTTAAAAGGAGCATAAGCTCCCACTGTTTTCTGTTCTGGTTTCTTACTGAGTTGAGTGCTTGTTCGTTACTTCCAATAAAGCTGAATCACTTGCTGAATCACTCTAAGAGTCCTTTGTTAGTACGATCTAACAGGCTACATTGGGGGGGTGTCGCTTAATATGCAAAGGAGTTCCTGCTACAAAAAGAGCCCTGCGCCGGGTATAAATATAATAAATAAATAAATAAATATCTGGAGATAACTTGTAACTTCAGGGGATCTGACCTGGACGCTGGCCTCCTCAGGGACACACAGGAGGCTCTCTTCTCCTCTCTTTTTACCTTTGCAAATACTCACTGAAGTAAGTTAGGCTGAGAAAGAGTGACTGGCCCGAGGGCACCCACGGAGCACCAGAACGGAGAACTGGACGTGGATCTTCCCAGCAGGTCTGGCCTGATGCCCTAACCCCTACAGCACACCCTAGGACTGCCAATTCTTGGAAAGCACACACATGGCAAGGGGGCAGAGCTCCCCCAGCAGAGGAGCAGAGGAAGGCTGCCTCGTCCTCTCTGCCCTGCGGCTGGCCCTTCAGAGGAACTGGTTGGCCACTGTGTGAAGAAAGGATGCTGGACTAGATGGACCCTCGCTGGGAGGAGGAGAAGCTGAGCTGTGGGAGGAGAAAGGGAAGGCAGGGGGGGGAAGTCCAGCCAGCGGCAGCAACAGAGGTTTCATGAATCCCACCTGCCATTTTCCCCACTTGTTTCCCTCATGAGCTGTGGCTAGGAATTGGAAGGGCGTCCTCCAAGGAATACCAGGGCTATGACGCAGAGGTAGGCAACGGCAAACCACCTCTGAATCATCTCTTGCCTAAAAAGAAACCAAGTTTAGCTTGCCATCTAGCGGTGCATGATGCTAAAGAGCTAGAACTTCCGGCTGCCAGACAATCTTAGGATCTCCTGGCTATACTACACACAATGTCATGCAATAATTAATTAATTCCTAATGAGCTCAAGTGGTTAAGACGCTGAACTGTAGACTGGAAGGTCAGGAGTTCAGCAGTTTGAGACCCGAGTGCTGCATGGCGAAGTGAGCTCCCATCTCTGGCCCCAGCACCTGCCAACCTAGCGATTTGAAAGCAAAAAATTGCAAGTTGATACATAGGTAGTGCTTTGGTGGGAAGGTAACAGTGTTCCGTGCGCCTCAGCGTCTAGTCATGCCGGCCACATGACCACGGAAATGTCTATGGACAGCGCTGACTGAGCCAGTTTGGTGTAGTGGTTGAGTGTGTGGACTCTAATCTGGGAGAACCGGGTTTGATTCCCCACTCCTCCACTTGCACCTGCTGATGTGACCTTGGGTCAGTCACAAGCTCTGGCACAGCTGTCCTTGGAAAAGAGCAGTTTGTGTCAGAGTTCTCTCAGTCCCACCCACCTCACAGGGTGTCTGTTGTGGGGAGGGGAAGGGAAAGGAGTTTGTAAGCCGCTCTGAGACTCCCAAGTGAAGGGCGGGGTATAAATCCAATCTCTTCTTCTCTTCTTCTTCTTCTTCGGCTTGGAAACGGAGATGAGCACTGCATCCCTAGAGTCAGATTCGACTGGCTTTCGAGCAAGGGAAACCTTTACCTTTACCTAATGAGCAGAACAACTAGAACCACTTATAGCACACTCAGCAATGTTCCCTCTAAGCAGTGGAGTCTTGTGAGCAAAAATCCTACTTTGTGAGCTCCTGGCATTAAAGTTGTGAGGGAGCGATTTGGCTGCTGCATAAATTTGTTTGTTCTGGAGCCATCCTTCCTGAACCAAGACAAAAATGTGTGAGCCGGAGGCTAAAAAACCATGAGCTAGCTCACACCAACTCAGCTTAGAGGGAACACTGGCACACTGACCTATGTAATACTGGTGTATTATGTATTTTGTGCCAGTGAAAAACTGGCTGCTTGGCAACACAGCACTACACTGGCTCTCTCAGGATAATGATAATAATCCCGAACTACCTTGCAAGAATGTTGTAAGGATTCCCAAGGCAATGTACGTGATATGCTTTGAGCACTCTGAAGTGCTATTACTTCTGTGCCCTGACCTGGATGTCCCAGTCTAGCCTCGTCTAGTCAGATCTCAGAAGCTAAGCAGGGTTGGCCCCAATGTTCCCTCTAAGCTGTGGAGTCTTGTGAGAAAAAATTCTACCTGGTGAGCTCCTGGCATTAAAGTTGTGAGCGAGCCGTTTGGCTGCTGCATCAATTAGTTTGCTCTGGAGCCCTCCTTCCTGAGCGAAGACAAAAATGTGTGAGCCAGAGGCTAAAAAACTGTGAACTAGCTCACACTAACTCAGCTTAGAGGGAACACTGGTTGGCCCTGGTCAGTATTTGGATGGGACCACCAAGCTGCCCTCTGACCATTGTTCCCTCTAAGCTGAGTTAATGTGAGCGAGCTCACAGTTTTTTAGCCTCCAGCTCACGGATTTTTGCCTTAGCTCAGGAAGGGATGGCTTGCAAACTAATTTATGCAGCGGCCAAATTGCTCGCTCACAACTTTGACGCCAGTAGCTCACAAAGTAGAATTTTTGCACACAAGCTTCCACAGCTTAGAGGGAGCATTGCCTCTGACCCCTCATCTCTCTCTGTCTTCTCTCTCTCTACACATGGCCTTCCATGGAGACTCATGTCTCTGCAGGTCTCTCCTGTATAGACAATATACCGTCATCCTCCCCACACACGTGAACCCAGACAAGCTGGCCATTCGTGACAGGGAAAGGACTCTTTCGATTAGGGTTCTTTCTCTTCTTTCGACTGCAACCTGAACGTGAACGGCATCTACTTGAATAAATGTAAGTTTACCTTTTCTGTAATATATTTCTTGGGAGATTTATATACTGCACTCGGTTATTTATTTATTTATTTTATTCAATTTATACCCTGCCTCAGGGACACACAGGAGGCTCTCTTCTCCTCTCTTTTTACCTTTGCAAATACTCACTGAAGTAAGTTAGGCTGAGAAAGAGTGACTGGCCAGGGGGCATCCACAGAGCACCAGAATGGAGAACTGGATGTGGATCTGCCCAGGTCTGGCCTGATGTCCTAACCCCTACAGCACATCCTAGGACTGCCAATTCTTGGAAAGCACAAACATGGCAAGGGGGCAGAGCTCCCCCAGCAGAGGAGCAGAGGAAGGCCGCCTGGGACTCTATGCCCTCTTGTTGGCCCTTCAGAGGAACTAGTTGGCCACTGTGTGAAGAAAGGATGCTGGACTAGATGGACCCTCACTGGTCTGACCCAGCAGGGCTCTCGGGTGAGTCTAGACGTTGCTCTCCACCATTACTTTTGTATTCTTATCTGTAGGGCCCGGCAAGGCCTATGAGCCCATTGTAAGGAAGACCGCCCCCTCTGTCTTTCTACATACTCACTTCAGTCCGATCGCATCTTCGCCCACGGGTTCTCTCCGGCACCGCCGTTTCTTGCCCTGCCGTGGAGCAAATCCAGGTGGGAGCCACAGCAAACCCTGTTCCCGCCGTTGGGGCCGGCGGACCCTCCACACCCCCAGAAAGATGCCCAGCACGACGGCCACCACTCCGGCCACCACAGAGTAAACAAGAGGCCCGGGGAAATGGGAAGCTGAGGCCTGAGGGTCTGAAGGCAGGAAGAAGAGAGTGTGAACTGTGGCCCCTGTCCTCGCCCATTGTTATTATACATACAGAAGCCTACAAGTCCCAGGGTCCTCTAGGGCGTTCAGCCAGTTCAAGAGCATGATTGGTGGGCAGGAGGAAAATAATATAAGAAGGCTTGGTGATACTGCTGGGGGATGCGCTTGTGGGAAGTTGTCAGTGAAGGACCTGAGGGAAACTTGGATGGGTTCTTTACTAGAGCTGGGGGAAAGGTCACAAAATTTAAAATGGGGCTGATTGCCCTGACCCAGATAGCCCAGACCAGCCCGATCTCGTCAGATCTCAGAAGTTATCCAGGACCAACCCTGGCTAGTATTTCAAAGGGAGACCTCCAAGGAATAGCAGGGCTGTGACGGAGAGGCAGGCAATAGCAAGCCACCTCTCTGAAATGCCCAAGCCCCACTAGGGGCTGCCAGAAGTCAGCTATGACTTCCAGCCATATACACATACACACAAAATTACTCAACACCTCCCCCCAAAAGTGGCTGATTCCTTTTCCAAATTAAAATTCTAAAATTGTCATTGTTATTCCCCCCACCCACATATATATATATTTAATCTCATCTTGAATCCATGGAACATGATTCTAGAAAAACCTGAATGTTTGGGCTTGTGGAGGAACATCAAGGTGCTAATGCTTAATGTCAAGCTACTTTCAGAATGTCACACCCTTTCTAACAGCCCTGAATGCAGCACAGATTTTATCAGCTCCCAAGGTGGGGGGGAGATCCATCCACGGACATTCCCTTGAGCTTTTAGCAGAAGCTGGAGCTGCAGAATTCAGCAAGTGACACTTCTCAGGGCATGGAGAGAGATCGGCGTGTTTATATCCGCAGCAGACCGAGTAGCTGTTAAAAGCACAAGAGCGGAGGCTGGCAAGAAAGCTGGCAGCCCAAATCCAAAACACCTGTCCTTAATACAGGAGGTGTAACAAACAACACTGTGACGTGCTTTTGAGAGAGTAAAAGGGATCAGAACAACTAATCCCATTCAACCACGGTGCTTTCTTACAATATAAAGGGGTTTTTTAAATTACAACATCAAGTATTAGATACATAATAATGCAATTAGTTACAATTCTTGCAATATAAAGTTGAATATGTCCTGGATGGATATGGGGTTCCCAGGTCCCTCCTGGCCACCGGCAGTGGGATTGGGGGGGGTAGGGTTGCCAGCTCCAGGTTGGGAAATTCCTGGAGATTTGGGGGTGGAGCTTGGGGGGGGGGACAGGGACCTTGATGGGGCACAGTGCCACAGAGTCTACCCTCCATTGCAGCCATTTTCTCCAGGGGAACAGATCTCTGCAGTGTGGAGATGAGGTGTAATTCCGGGGGGTCCCCTGGCCCCATCTGGAGGCTGGCATCCCCAGGAATAAGATATATCCCCATTCCTTTAGGACTGACTGAAATGTCATCATTTATTTATTTATTTTATTAGATCCCCACCAAATTTGTCCCTACTACAGAAGTCTCTTTCTCCATGCCAGCGAAACCAAAAATGGATCCTTGTCAATAATCCACCTTACCCCAGATTCAGGGGAAAAAACCCTCCTTATTCTACTTAAGGCTACCAGATCCCCTGTTTTCAAAACCCCAAGTCTCATGGGGTGGGGGCCTGGTGGTATCATACTTGTCGTGAGAAAATGTGTGGCTGCACATGTCTGTAAATGCGGTTTTACCCGTGCCACCCACACTCTCCTTGGTTCGCGTGTCCCCTGAGTGTTGCCTCCTTACCAAAGGCGAATGGTGCAAGTTTGGAAACCACTAAAGGCTGGCAGAGACACTCAAGCAAGGGTCTCTTCTTCCAATAAAACTTATCTTTATTAAAGGAAAAACATTCAAAGGTTTATCTGGCAAGGTGGCCATCAAGACGCTATGCCAACTTGCCAACACAGTAGACTCCTATTTCTTAAATATTGATAGTGAATACACAGAATAAACATGCAAGCAAAGTTCTATCCCACCCAAAGCATGCAGAAAATGAAAGGCCTTCTGGGCTGACTCCCAAAATCTCCGGAGAGTGAAAACCTCTCCTGATCCTTCAAGAGCCAGCGAAGGTCTGTTGAGGCTGACCAGCATTTATACCAAATGATCAAAGAGGTCCCTCAGTAATTAAATTACAGTTGTAAATTAACATTTTGAAGTTTTACAGGAGATTGCTTCCTTGCGTCTCACACAACAAAAGTTACATTTTATGTACAGGATCAGCACAGTCTAATTGTTTTTTTCCTGGTGTTCCCAAAACTGTACTTTGATGTTATCTCTGAGATGGAAGTGGGGTGTGTGAATCTCTGTATCTCAGGAATTAGTTTGCCTTCCGGATTGAAGTCTGTCACTGCCCAAATGGCCTTTCCCGCCAGCTGCAGTTTATTGCCTAGGAAATTGTGGGTC